ATTATATTAATATTAGAATTCTTTTTATTGTAACAGTATGGCACACTGGACATTTGCCTCGTTAAACTCTTTCATCATTAGATGTAATGGTCAATAGAAAATGTAAACAAATATCTAAATTAAATTTTCTTTTTTCTGTAGGCAATGAAAGTGAAGTTGGCAAGCAAATATTTTGTGAAAAAGGGAACATTCTATAATAAGCATAATTAGCATAAAAAGGAGGCGTGTTTGTTCTAAAATGAAAGACAATGATGTGGTAGTGCCTTAAACACATATAATTTCTTAGTTCTTCTTTTGTACTTTATTTTTGTTCTTGGTGAGTAAAACCTTCTACTGAATGGATCCTTTCATTACATGAGAAAAAGCACTAACTGCACTATTCGTTAAAAAGAAATGTAATAATAAAAAATAATTGTAATAAATCCAATGCATGTTGTGATCAAGATCACAAAAGTGCTCAGGAGCAATATCAGAAGTGCATGAACGTGCACGGATGCTGCTTAGAGGGAACACTGCCCCTCTCTTTTCCACTTTAAATATCTTTTCTCATCTCTTTCTTTACCCTGGTGCCATCACTGTACCGTAACCAAGCCTCGCTCCTCTCTCTCACACACACTGAGGGAGAGTGTGTCCGTCTCAGCGGGTGATTAGGTGACACATAGGGCTGTTTAGGTAATCTAGCCTGTCACCTGCAGTCACACATGCATCTAATGCAGCCATGCACTGAAACAGTTCTAATTCAGTCACACAAAGACAGATGAGATATGAGATTCAATCTTCGGTTCAATTTATTGCTTAAAGAAAATAATTCTAAACCTGTCCGAATCTCTTTGTCTGAGAAAACATCTGATTCCCGGTGGAAATAACACACCCTTTATGTAAATCTGCAGTTGCTACATGGTGCCCAGAGTTCCTGCAGTCATTTCTACAATAAGACAAATGAAGCAACACCTCCAGGAAACCACTTGATCTTTGAGGCTATGTGCAGTGATTTTGGCAATTTTATTAATATAAAATGAGAATATTCCACAAACCTTCTACAAAACCATGAAATAATCATCTCACACCTCTGCCCTGCACACACATAATCAACAACACACCAGCAAGGCTCCACAATCCCTCCCTCTCTCTCTGTCCTCCATTAGATGCCAGATACATGCTTGAAATCTAAATGTTTCATTCTGTTGAAAGCCTCAGGATCCCTCTACAGAGACACTAAACACAACTGGTCTTTTATTTGACCAAAGACTTCACTAAGTTGACGTTTTGTTTCTATATCATCTATTTATGAGAATTATTCATTTTTTCCATTAACTGGCCTAACTGTTGATTCATGGTGATCATGAAGGTTCAAATCTGACTCACGATCCTGATCCTATTCCACTACTGGAACTGCAGTGTAAGTTACTTTGTATAAAAGTGTCTGCCAAATGCATAAATGTAAATGAAGGTACAAATCTGACTCATGAATGATGCTGATCCTATTTCACTAAATCCCCTTAATTTTCTGTTCTCTATTTAATATTAATACAGTAGTGAAAAGAATAACACTCAAAAATGATCAAAAATATCTTTAAACAATTTAAAACAGCGCTGCTGTGAATTTTTGTTTTGCCTCAGCATTGATGTAAGACTCTTTGACAGGGTAAAAGCATGCAGGCAGGGAACAATCAGGGTGGAAAAAGGGAATAACATTAAGAAAAGAGCGAGAGAGAGAGAGAGAGAGAGAGAGAGAGAGAGAGAGAGAGAGAAAAAAGTGATAAACAGGGTATGTATGAGAGGAGCTTTTGCTTTGTGTTTTGATTTATTCATATCTGACCATTAACCTAGAAACCCTATGTTGTTCGTATATTTGAATGTGTGTTTTTGTGGCTGTGTGTGAGAGAATGAGTGTGTGTGTGAGGTTTAGTAATTGTTTAGAAAAGATCAAGAGACAGAAAATATGGAGGGAAGGAGCAAACAATAAGCTTCTTGTCAAATCCAAGGCTAGTAATAAGGAAACGAGTACAGATGAAGAGTGTTTAACAACGAAAAGACAGCCAGAAAGATGACAGTGGAGGGGAGAGGACTGAACATGAGAAAAGAAAGAGGAAGGAAGAGAGAGAGAAAATCTTAGCTCCATATGCATACTGAACGTTTTTTTTTTTCCATGGGTTTCCCCTCTTTCACACTACTGACCCAGTTCTACCCATAATCCCCGGCCCTGACACATCTTTTTACTCTGTACTGTTTCCAATACGATTAGGGCAACTGATGACAATTGTGGCTTTTATCCAATCAGAGCTCTGAGAGATTAAAGGGTTACTTAACCTACAAATGAAATTTACTCTCCCTCACGTTGTACCAAACCGTTATAATTTATCTTCTTTACATATGAGGAGATATTTTCAATATATTCTAGTTCAACTTGTGATTTTCCAAAAAATGAAAGCTTCAACAAAAACTAAAAACAGTAAAAGTCTGAGTCTTCTGAAGCCATACAGCATATTTCTGTGAGGAACAGACCAAAAATGAACTTCCCCCTCTGCACATCTCTCAAATCACTTATAAAGTGGCTTGTGAACTGCTTTGATGCTAACCTTTATTATCACCTTTTTCCCCCAGTAAATATACCCTAATTATACCCTTAAATACCTTAATTCAGAAATGAAGCAAGTGACTGTCTTTATGGAGGAATCACTGAATCATTGACTCACTTGATCTGTTCAAACAGCTGATTCATTCAGAAATGAAGCAAGTGACCGTCTATATGAATGAGTCACTGAATCACTGACTTGATCCGTTCAAACAAATGATTCATTCAGAAACGAAGCAAGTGAATATCTTTATGAATTAGTCACTGAATCATTGACTACCTCGATCCGTTCAAACAGCTAATTCTTTCAGAAACGAAGCAAGTGAACTGAACTCCCTCCCGGCCTTGCCCCCCCTCCCCTCTTTTGCCCCACGCACTACTGAATTCTGACCCTCTGATGGACTCTCCCACTCCCCCCTCCCAAATACACACACACACTGTCACTTTAATCAGTCTGAATAAGCTCTTTTGCACTACAATCATTATATCTGCACTGTTGTTTACTTCACTGGTTTGCACTCTATCTGCCATGCGCCTTGTGCTGCTTTATATATTTTTTTTACATTTTACCTTTGTAGTGACTTAACTGTAATTTAAGTCGTTAATTCTATAAGGGAATTAATCATTAATTTTATTTCTAGCTCAGGTTTTGAAAGGACTCGAATCTGAAAATTCTGAGTCAACCTGATCAAAACTGAATTCAAATCAATCTTTAATCACTCCTCTGAGTAGATGACGACATGACTGACAGGAAATCGACCCAGAATATTGGAGTCTGGTGCTGGGGGTGATTGGTATAGATACCTCATGATATTCACGTGGTGAATCCACAGCTTATGGGGGCCTGTTTCACAAGCAAAACCCATATTATTTCTAAGTACATACAAAAATTGTTCAACATTCTATTATGAATAGACTTTAAAAAATTTTTTTTTACATTTTACCTTATTTGTATAGTTGTATTTTATATTTAAATCTGTATCTATCTGTATTTATGTTCTACTGTTAGTGTTATCTGTATGCACCAAGGGTCTGAGAGTAACGCAATTTCAATTCTCTGTGTGTATGTGCTGTACATGTGGAAGAATTGACAATAAAGCAGGCTTGACTTGACTTGACTTGAAGTGACTGCCTGCGTCCCAATGTTCATACTATCCATCTTAAATAGTATGTGACATTAGAATAAGTGTGTACCAAAGCATACTAGTATGCTGAAGAGTATGACAAACGTCCCCGGATGGTTTACTATTTCAGGTAGATTTTTGAAGTGTGGATCCGTGCACACTATAATGGCTAATATTGCCTACAATCCATTGCGCTTTGGCAAAGGATTCGGTTCAGAACTACAAACATGGTGGATGTGCGCGAATCAACGGTTAAATAGAGAGGTTTAGATAAAGGGGTTTGAGTTACTACTTATCAATATTTAACCTGGTAAAAAATATTTATTTAATATCTTATCTGTGTTATATTTCATCTGCAACAACAATGTGAATTTTAATAACATCCGTTTGTCCATTAACTTTTAAATGTATCATCATGCAAAAAATATGAGCAGATGTAACGGAGGCCAGCGGCTAGGAGACCGGGGTTCGAGACCCACTCGGAACAAGAACGAGGTGTGGCGGTGAGGACCCGGGAGAGAGGGGTTACATTGGGTTTAATTAGGGTTGGAGCTAAACTCTGCAGGACAGTGGCCCTCCTGGACCAAGTTTGGACACCCCTGTCTTAAAGGAGTACTTGACCCAATAATTACAATTCTGTCATCATTTACTCACCCTCAAATCGTTACAAACCCATAAGACTTAGAATATAATCTTCAAAACACAAATCAATATATTTTTAACAAAACCTGAGATAACCTTTCTGACCTTTCTGGATCTCGTAAATTTTAGTTACCTGAAGGGTCAGAAACAACTCAGGTTTCATTACAAATATCTTAATTTGTGTTTTGAAGATTAAGTCTTTGAGTTTATAAGATTGAGTCTTATGATTTTGGAACAACATTTGGGTGAGTAAATTGTAAAAAAACAATGTTTTTATTTCTGGGTGAACTGTCCCTTTAATACATCCAACATAAATTCCTCTCTGGATACTTCAGTCCTTTAAACACTCTTGCTGATTTAATTAGCATCACAGAGTATCTTAAAAGAACATAATAATCAAGGTGTCAAATCATCAACTATTAAAACCATTTAAACACTGTAATACATGACCAGACAGGGCCCAGAAATGGAAAGGGAAAAAATAAAAGAGCCTGCAAACTAACACGAGAAAGCATGAGATTTCAGCACAAAAGAAAAAATAGAAAGAGTCATTTGACCGAATAAAGCTGAACTCAGACAAAGGAAGCACTGACAACCATAGCAAACACAATGAGAGAGACACATAACATTCGAGAGGTGTGCTGGCTAATGCGTCTCACCCTTTTGCGTAGGTTGCAGGTGAGAATGAGGTTTCGGGAGAAAGAGTTGGCAAACGCTGTGTAGAAGTCCAACACTTTCAGCAAGGCTTCTCTCTTTATGATGTGAAGATCACAGTACGTTAACGCCCGAACGTTAGCGCATGAGTGGGCCAAAGTTGTCTCCTTCCAAAACACATCACCAAACACGTCCCCTTTACCTGAGAGAGAAAGAACAAAAAATATTAGAGAATATGCAAAGAGAAGATTAGAACAATATTTAACAGAGCAGAGAGTTAGTGTGAGACTAGACTGCTTCAATTGATGTCAGTCAAATGCATAATCTCACAGCAGGGTTGAGCAGCAGAATGATCAAATCTGACATTTCAATGAATATTCTCTTTATAGAGCTGGAGCATGGCACAGGCTTGAGCAGGAGAATTACTTACCTGTATTGGAAAAAAGTTTAGCTTACTCGTATTAAAATGGGCAACTTACCTAAAAATTAAAATGTTATCAATTACTCTCGTCATTCTGAACTCATTTGACTTTATTTCTTGTGATGAACAGACAGAAATATAAAGGGAGAGTTCACTTAAATATGAAAATTCTGTCATCAATTAATCACCTCATGCCATTACAAAACTGTGACTTTCTTTCGTCTGCAGAAAACAAAAGATATTTTAAGAACTGTTACTGAATGTTGAAAGTTTTCCCCTTGCTCTGGACTGTTCCTTATACAAACCCATCAATTAGTTTCAGAAGATTTAGAACAGTGCATGAGTCATATGAAATATTTTTTAACCTTTAAACGAGCAGCTCAGACGTTCTGCAAAACATCTTTTATGTTCCACATAAGAAAGGAAATCATATGAGTAAATGACAGAATTTTCATTTTCTGGTGAACAGAACTGAATGGAATTACTGACAGATCTTTTGTGTGTGTGTGTGTGTGTGTGTGTGTGTGTGTGTGTGAGCGTGACTTACATTCAAATCAGAGTATCAAAAAGAAAAAATGTAAGGCAGGGTCTTGGTTAAATTCAATGGTTGATGAACCGTTAACAATGAGATCAGTTTTTAGAAAATAGATGCCGAAGATCAATGGCACACTTTCTGCAGATCCTCGGCACCAGGAACCTAAAATAGACCTTCAACCTTCAAGTTCCAACCCTGCACTGATTCCATAGGTCGCAGCAGTGCTGAACATGCATTTACCACAAGAACAACAGACATACACCAGGGCAAACCAAAAACCTTATTTGGTTGGTTTAAAAATAATATTTCTTGTTTTCCGACTAATATTTTTAATGCTGATCTCGGCATAATCTCAACACCGAGATCGTCTGTCACAGGTGTTTGTCCTGCCAATTAAAGACTTATTCCTAGTAGCAAAACACATTTAATTGGCTGCACATGCCAGACCAATTAAACCACAATTAGCAGCTGCTAGGAGTGAATGCACAAATGCGTTCTAATTAACCTTTCAAAGCAAAACTGAAAGATTCTCTTTTCCTGAAAATCATTGTTCTGGCGTCATTTTTATAACAAAGCAAACCACTCTTGTCAACTCTACTAATAGGTTGTAGAGTGCAAGCACAAGAGCTGTTAAGTTGCATTCGGTAGAAATCATATTAAAAAACTTAGCCTCTATACAACTTAATACCTATTCCAAAATGATTTTCAAGCTTTATGTAAACAATATTCTGGTAAAAAAAAAAAAAAAAGGTGTGATTCACATGGTCAGGGTTTTATTTTGATTCGAACATACCGTGTGCAGCAGATATGGCCTGCAGAGACTTTGTCAAGGGCTCTACTGAGAGTTTGAAGACATGTGTAGTACAGCGAAGAGACTGTGGGGATTTACAGTTTATCTCAGACAGAAGAGCAAAGCCACCAAACATGGTCTCCAAGGAGTCATGCGCAGTGTTGGGAAGGTTACTTTGAAAATGTAATAGGTTACAGATTACAAGTTACCCTATTTA